AAAAAAAAAAAAAAAAAGTTGGGCTGGTAATGATTAAAATTTTCGTGTTCGATTAATCGAATTTTTGTATTAAGCGATTAATCGACTAATTTCAATTATAACGCACATACAGATCCAACTACTTTTAGCTGATCTGCTTGCATTGCAACTCTGCATTAGTCAGTGGTAAATGTGGTATACACTACATACAATCAGCCATTGGACAGCTCCTGCCCAGCCCTCCACTGACGTCACCCTGCGTATCTATCGCACTGTTCACTGGCAGTGAGACACAGCAAGTCTGACCGCAGCCGAGCGGTCTCCTCGCCTCAGCCTGGCCAGCCGAGACCTTAAAACTCCGCTTGTGACTCTTTTTTAAATCAGATAGTTTTTATTAAACAATTTTCAAGCAAACAAAAAAAAACAGTGCAAAGGAAAACAGGTCAAAACCAACATTAAGTAAAATAACGTAAAAAAGGTGTACATACAACAGCCCGCTTGTGACTCTTTACAGAGACATCCTTTGGCACCGGGATTACACACAGTTCATAACCTCTTTTTTTACCTATGACCCGGGCTTCCTGATAGGCGCCCGTCTCTGCAGGGAAACACCACTCCTCATCGGTTACCATTGGAGGCATCTATTCATCTCATACAACAGTGAGTCATTTCACCCATTTTTTAACCATTCAAATCTTTCCAGTGCCTATCTAGCCTTATGCCAATGTTGCCATGCATAAATACCCATACATGTGAAATTATATGTATACCTAAAGAGCAGTAGCGCTTCTCTGTTCTGTTTTCTATTTTGGGAGTAGATACAGGCAGCATCATGAGCCTATTTGGTTAATGATGTCCTCCAGAATGCCCAGTATGTTGGTTAACATCGAGCAGTTAGCCGGGGACTATTATATGTGATGGAAGTAGTGTGGGCATTGCAAACTTACCGGCCCAAGTGGCTCCGTCGGCTAACGAAAGGAAGAGGTGGGGGGGGGAGTCTGGTGACGTCACGGACATCGACGTCACCGGACTCCTCCCCCCTTCCCTTCGTTAGCCGACGGAGCCACTTGGGGAAGGGGGGATGAGTCCGGTGACCTCGATGTCCGTGACGTCACCGGATCTCTGACGGAACTCCCGGTAGCCGGCGGAGCGGTGAGTACCGATCAAAAAAAGTTTAATCGATCAAAAAAATTAACTATTAAATCGAGGAATTAATCGTTAATTTTCGCAGCCCTAAAAAAAAAAAGTGAGTGTTTTGGGTCAAAGCAGACCCTGGGTCACATAGGACATTCACCTAGCAGTGGGCCATACTGGACAGCGGATGCTAGCCTGGCAGCGGGTCATAGCGGATAGTGGGCATTATTCTGGCAGCGGGTCATAGCGGACAATGGGCATTAACCTGCCAGTGGGTCATAGCGGACGGCAGGCACTCACCTGAGAGCGGTTGGTCTGGCAAGGTCCCTCCTCTTCCTCTAGTCCTTTCAGGATTTTAGCTCCAACATAAGAAATTAATTCATCTGGGGAGGATATGGCTCTGTGAGGACAGAATTTCAATGAATCGTCAGGACCTTCAACCATATATTATACAGAATATGATCTCTGTACATGGAGCCCTCTCTCACCTTTGTGTTTCCGGGGATGACCAGACGGAGGTGGCCGGACTCAGCAGCTGCGCCAGGAACTCTTGCTGCTTCTCATAATTGTTGAAGTGGTTGCTTATCATCACCTGGACTTCCAGCATGGAATATTTCTCCATCTGACTGAGATGCTCGTTCATAAATAGGAGCATGGCTTGGGTGCTCAGGAGGTTGAAGTGAGGCTGAAGGGATGATGATTTGGAAGGTTAGCAGAACATGTCATAGGCCTGCAGCGTGCCGGTCCAGAAACGGGCTACTATATGTTGGGTCATGTGATAAACCACAATACATGTGCCCATTACAAAGCTTTGCCAACCCCCTCCCCCATAGTCAGTCTGCATAGACCACCTTTATTCAAACAGGGTGCCAGGGCAGCTTGGGGGGCCTTCAAAATTTTTGCTAAATGGGGGGACACCGATGTGAATGGGGCTACTAAAGTATAGGGAGGTCTCTGACATGAAGGGGAAACTCCACGTTACCTTTGTTTTGGTTTCTTGCATGGGGTCCCCCTTTAAAATCCATACCAGACCATTGTCCAGGATAAGGCTTTAGTATTGATTACAACAACCATGTCATTTTTTTTGCAGTTTTACATTTTTTACTGGGGTGCCTCAAAACTTTGCATACATTAAAAGGTGCCATGAATACAAAAAAAAAAAAAAAAAAAAAAGGTTGGGAAATGCTGGGATAGAAAACATAAAAAAAAAAAAAAAAGGTTGGGAAATGCTGGGATAGACCACACAGACATACCAGAACTATATGGTTTCATCATGTGATAAGCCATAATACAGGTACATAGCCAGGTCACAATGTGCCCATTACAAAGCTGTGCCAACCCTCGCCCACTCCCATGTCCACATGGACCACTCCGACTTACCAGAACCAGATCTGGAGAATCACGGCAAATCTTGATAATAGAAGAGCAGGCATGGCGGCGGACGGCCTTCACCGGGCGGGTTCGGGGACCCTGAGAGAGAAGAACAGTCCTGAATGGCTACGTGGGAATATTACAGAGATGAGACAAATATGTGATCACTGTACACATGTAAATACAAAAGGGTGTAGAGCAAGGGTTCTCAACCTGTGTAACCTCAGGACACACATTTGTCCTTGGTCTTTAACTCACGACCCAAGTTGCACTGCAATGGAACGCACGGCATTAGGATACTGCACGTTCCAGTGTGGGCGTACGGACTGTGGGTGGGAGGTGCATTTGGGGTACTATTCAATTGAAAAGGCAATGCAACACATCTCTCACACCAGATTGCATGGTAGCAACTACCATGCATTCTGGTGTGGGAGGTGTGTTGGTACAGTGCAATAATCTCACGGTACTATGTGATTAATGCACTGTACTAGTGTGAACAGGCCCTCAAAAACAATGACATACATACACAATCTCACACACACTCCATACTCCCAGAGACAGCTGCATAATGGGATTTGTAGATTCACCACAGCTGGGAGGGCTGGAGTTTGCCCACCCATGGCCTATGCTTTTGGTAACAGCAGGGAGATCAGAAGCAGCTGGGTTTTCGCAGTTTCTAATGAGCTGAGACCCCAATGATGCTCTGTGTAGCTTGAGATCATAAGATCTTTGTCTCATGGTAACGCCATGAGCAGTAACACCGGGGAGATCAGGAGCAACCTCATGAGATCTTTGCCTACGCTTTATGTAACAACAGGGAGATCGGGAGCAGACGTGTTTTTGCAGTTTCTAATAAGCTGAAGCTCCAATAATGCTCTGTGTAGCCTGAGACCAGGAGATCATTTCCTAGGCTTTAAGTCACATGAGGGAGATCAGAAGGTGCAGTGTTTTTGCAGTTTCTAATGAGCTGAAACGCCCACAATGCTCTGGGTAGCCGGAGATCATAAGATCTTTGCCTAGGCTTGGAGTCACATGAAGAAGCTCAGAAGCAGCAGTGTATTTGATTCATGTCAGGAAAGAGGAACCTTAAATCATTGATAACAATGATAATATTGCGATCCGGCAATGCAGAAAGGAGCCTCAATGATTCTGGTGAAGTGTGAGTTTTAATAAGGGGGTCCACTGTCGCCCCAACCCCCCCGTTAAGAAGGACCCGTTCATCTCCATCAGCACTATGAGCAGATTGGGTAAAGCATCCGAACACAAGAAAAATACTAACTGTTATAATACCGACTCAGAGCTACAGAGAGCGATATAAATCAAAATTTGACATGGTCATTACCTTATGATTCAGCTCAAAGGTGACGGCGGAGAATAGCTGTGAACATAGAAGAGGACGGGGTTAATAAGAATCAGAAATCCTCCCAATAAAAAGGAACTTCACCCTTATCGTAGAGATGACAACAAAGACACCTTTAGAAATGTTTAGTGATGACAATCTACACACACATACTTCTAGATAATTGCCGGCTTTGCATTCTTTGCAGACCTTGGTTCTCTTTTCTTTCCCAGGCTTCTGGCAGTGACCATTTTAACTAAGGGCAACCTACTAGATCTCCCTTTACTTCCTGGAACTCAGGCACGTGACTAGGACATGTGACCACGTACATCATCTCAGGGGAGGAAAAATGTCTTTCCCTGAGATCTCGTGAGATTATAGATGAGATTTCCCAGCAATGATCTGCACAGGTTGCATCACTAATGCCCAAGAGGACCAGGAAGTGGAAAAAAAATAAAATAATTGTAAGTAAAAGAAACATTTTTTAACTAATGAATGGGAGATGATTTCATATCAGAGCTGCATGAGGTGGTGATTTTTTTTAGTGAAAGAGGGTAAACGATCAGTACCCCAAAAAGTCCATAGACAACGCTTTAAAAGTCCCCACAGGTCATCAGTTTAGAGATACCCAAAAATACTGGCCATAGAATTATTGCTCTCACTCCGGCGTGCGCGGCGATATCCAACATGTGTAGCGCGTTCGTCATTTTCATACGTAGGCGCACCCGACGCCTACGCGCGTGCTCGCGGGGGACTTTAAAACAAATTTTACATATATTTTAGATTTATTTTATTTAATGTTAATTATAAAAACTGTTTCTTTTTTTTTAACTACAATTGGCATCACATAGGGGGGCTCACAAGCCCCCCATGTGATAGCAGATGGTGGTGACAGGTACTCTTTAAGGTGATGCGGGGGGTCCAAAAGACCCCTAGTGTCACATTTACACTCCAAATAAGCTATTAGGGTGCAGATCGCACTTCAATAGCTTATAGCTGGGCTTCCGGAGCCCAGAACTGACAGCCCAGGGACCGGAAGTAATGCAATCTGCATCGCTCCCGGTCCCATAGAACGGGGAGGGGAGGTTCGTCCATCTCCTCCCCAGCTCCCTGCCGACACCAAAGAAGCTGGTCCCGGGCCGTAGGAGGGGCAACGGAGCTCGGGAAGGCAGGGGGTGTCTGGCGGCCCCTTCATGGGACTGTAGAAGCGATCTGGTGACAGCTGAGTCGCCAGAATCACTTCTAATGTAAAGCCGACAGTCGGCTTTACAAGTTTAAACAGACTCCCAGTGGCAAAAGCCCCTGGGAGTCTGTTTAAACAGCCCCGATGCAGGCGGCGTACACTGTACGTCGTCAGTAACAAAGGGGTTAAAAGAAACCTAACATAGGAAAAACATGTAGACTGCTGATATTGCCTTCAGAAAATGCTACTTGCCTGACTGTCGTACCGATACAACAGCTTCAATACCTCCCGAGCCTGAATAATAATTCCTATACATAAGGAACTAGGACTTTATCCCGGCTTTTATCTGCGGCACGCTTGTTCCTGGATGCTGCAGCCAGGCAACTACAGCACTTTTGGAAGGAAGGCAACAGTGTGGAAATTAGCCTGGGCCCGGGAAAGATGATCATGGCAGCTTAGGACTGGTCGGGAGAATCGTGTGACCAGAATTCGCTCACCTTGGTCAGGACGCGAGGCATGAAGCCATTCGTATAGCGCACGAAGGGGAAGAGCACAGAGAGGTTGGTGAGGAGGCAGGACAGGATCAGGGGGTCCTCGATCTGATAGTTGAGCACAGCTTGGAGAAGTTCCACACCTTGAGAGACGGGCAGGTCCTGGGAGGAAAGATTTAACAGAGGATATAAAACCAACAGAAACTCAGACCTTCAGCTTTACTGGTACTTGCACCCCCAGAATCCCTGCATGCCCAGCTGCACCCCCTATAACACCATGAGGCCTCCTTAGGTCAGGCCCACAGGATGAAGAGATCTGTAGACGGCTCGGTAGATTTAGACTCGGACAGCCGTCTGTCACTCAACTGAATCATTGTAGATAGGTGCCACACGCTCGTTCGTTCCAGTCCGTGGAATTCTCAGCATCGGAGTACTACCGTATTGGCAAAATATACCGCTGTGATTATATAAATCTCACTCGGGTAAAGGGAGAAGAGAAGTTTTGAATACTGTAAAAAATAACACACTTTTGTATCAGCGCAAGACTCTGCAGGGAGTAGCAGCTAATATCGCACACCCCAGGCCCCCCGGAGCTTCATTTGCTAAAAGTAGACTACCAGAAGAGTAGGAACTGATGACTTGTGTGGAAAAGAGGCCGCTGCTTCCTTCAAAAACTTGCGCTGCGGCTGCGAGTGGACATGCTTGCATTTAGCTGTAATGAATGTTTTGTTATCACGCTGGCGTGACAGTTTTGTAGTTTTGGGTTCCCTCTGAAGCTATCAGGATCACATGAGGACGGTACTTTTATTACAGATATCTGCAAGCATGTCAGGGTGTTAACCTCAGCTCTTTGCAGGGAGCCATGGTGTCAAGGAACGAGGGGCAGCCAGCAAACGGCTGGATCCGATACTCATGTAAATTTCAGATTCCGATTACCTTTGCTGTGCTCAAGACAAAAATTTAAAAAAGCACAGGGTATATCACACATCAGTCCCTGTCCTCAAGGAGCAAACAAAGGTCCTTATCGCGCACACACATACAGGCCAATTTAAGCAAGGCAGCACTGGGGGTCCCGGTCAGGACACTATCTTCAAGAAGTTTGCGTGTTCTCCCTGTGCATGCGTGGATTTCCTCTGGCTACAAATGTGACACCATTATAGTCAATAAAGGGATTGACTTTGCATGAAATTGTAGTGCAAGTGACTATTGAATTCATTTTATTTGCAGAGGCATCTGCAGTCACTTCGGCACCCACCCGGTCTCTGGGTTTGTTTCCGATCAGCAGTGCGATGGCACATATCTTGTATAGTATGTAAAGCGCTGTGTAAATTGTCGGCACTATATAAAATACTGTAATAAATACATATGTATTATTTTTTAAAGTATTCAGTAAAAGGTTAAAAAACACACACTTAACCCAAATGGCGGCAACAAAGCCATAAACTGACACACCATGGGTAACACCCTGAGCAGGTATGTGCGCCACACTCCATTGTTTGCGTGGTGAGTACAAGAACCTGACAACCATCTCACCTCTTTGGGGAGCACTCGCAGGATCTGATTGATGACACACTCGCAGAAAAACGTCATGGCATCCCACTGAATGAATGAGGGTGACAAGAGGGTGCAGAGTCCTTCTCCAGCCTTGGCTGCAATACAAAAGAGAAATGGAGAGTGTAAGTGGTCACAATACATCAGATCCACAGAGGGCACCAGAGGAAGTGATACGAGCAACACACATACGCTGGTGAGTGACAAAGCACACCGCACCTCCTGTGTTCACTACTTACAGCTATTTGGTCCTGGGTCCAGCGGAGCAGAGAGCTGGAACTGAAGCCATTCAGCCGCCATACGAAAGCTGGCATGAGGATTCAAACGGCACGCTTGTCTCATCACATCCCCCATCATTGCTTTAAAGTCTAAGTCATAAAGCAGGAAACACTAAAGCTAAACTCAACACGAGAGACAGAAAGAACATTTGCCAACTATGGATAAGACTCCCCCCAACCCACTGACCAGGGGACAAAAGATATCACCTTCCAACTACACTCCAACCGAGCCCCTCCATTGACCAGAGGAGCAAGGACATGCTACTATCCCTCTCTACTGCCCGGGGGGGTACACCCCACTATCTCCCCTCTACTCACTTGAGTAGAAAGGATATGCACCCTTAACTCAATGGAAGAGAAAAGGACACTCCCCACTATCTGAATGGAGTAGAAAGGACACCACATTAACCTCCCTAAACTGAATGGACCAGAGAAGAAAGTACACCAGTCTCCTCTACTGACTAAAACAGAAAGGACACCCCATTATCCCCCCTTCATTGATCAGAGAATAAATTACACCTCAATATCTCCTTTACTGACAGGGGAAGAAATTACACCCAGCTATCCACATCCCTCCCCCGATCAGAGTTGAAAAGACACCCCAATATCTCCTTTATTGAACGGTGCACAAATGACACCCGCAGAAATGGGACCCCATAATCCCTTACTACTGATCAAAG